AAAGGCCTTTTTCCAGTTTGAACTCTACATGGTATCAACACGGAGCCACGGTTAAAAGATTCTGCACATTCACTGCACACATAACTGTTTTCTCCATCGTGCCATCTCTGGGGATGAATGAGGACAGATCTGTGGCTTAAGGACTTCCCACATTTGCTGCACTTGTATTGCCTGGACCCAGTGTGAGTCTTTCCATGTTGACTGAGGGAAGAGCTCTGCCTAAGGGATCTTCCGCATTCACCAAATTCATGATGTCTTTTTCCAGTATGGTATCTCTGGTGTATGGCAAATGAAGATTTGTACCTGAACGTTTTCCCACATTCACTGCACACAAAACAGTGGTCCTGAACAAGCACGTGTTTGGGACCGAAGGCATTCTTGCATTCTCCCCAGGTGTGATGACTTTTTCGGCTTTGTAACGTTGCCCTGCACTGGGTGATTTCCTTTGGCTTCTCCCCAGTACGAGTGGCCTCTTGCCCCAGATGCTCCGAGCCAGACAGCAAGTCCTTCTCAACCTCTCCACAGGTAAAGGGCTTTCCCGAACCACCGGATCCCCAGCTCTTGACAGCAGAGGCCCTGTCCACACGGCTTCTGAATGGTTTTGCTCCCGCGGGCTGCTCCTGCTGCTGCTGCTGCTCCAACTTCACACCGAAAGAAAATCGTTTCCCGCAGGCCCCACACCTCAACCGTTTCTGGCCGTTTTCTTTCCCCTGGAGCTCAGCCAAGTGGAAAATGTCTCTCAAGACGGGACCACACATCTCACAGGGGTGGGTCTTCTGGGAAGACAGAGCAGCCCTGGGCGTCCAGGTCTGTGAAACGCCTACAGAAGCGCTCTGTGCAAAGGGGGCCTCCTCATCCTCTGCTCCACAGCAGCAACCTGAAGGCAGAGAAACGCTGGTGAAATAGGTGTCCGCTGTAGCAAGGGGGTGAGCCCATCACACACAGGCATCCATCTTATCTAGGCAGGAGTGTATACCATGCTTTTCCAGACACAGCAGTTGAAATTCAGTTGTAGGAGCAGTCACTGTCCATTATTTGGCCTCTAAGGTCACAGAATGGTGGAGACCTCACCAGGAGAAGGATACAAAGACAGGGTATGAGACAAGAAAGAGAGGCAAGGACTACAACTAATTTCTCTGCCAAGTCTTTGGTGGCATTGATGTGAGGCTGGGTAAAAGCATGCCTCCAAGCACATTACAATCCAACTGCAACAGATTACTTGCTGTTCAACGTCAATTTAGGGTATATGAACATCTCACGGCCAATGCTGGAATACATGAACATGAGAGAAATTGGAGAGATGTGGAGTCCAGAGAGGTAGAGATTACCCCTGTGCTGGAAGTCACAGTAGAAATAATGAGAGAACAGACAAATCGGCAAAATGTCAAAATGGAGACGAAAAGGTAGAAATGAAGCATGGAAATAGCATGAAATATGGGGGTGAATAAAGACAGGTTCACCATGAGGGACCTGGTGTGATGTGGACACACTCTCCAGCCACTGATCAGGACCACGCCGTTCTGAGTCCACTCTGTCATGTCTGGAGTCCTGCCCATCCTGTGATACACAAAGGATTCTTCCCTGTAAGCCTTGAGAAACTACATGGGACATGGACAATACAAGTCCTAAGGGAGAAAGAGGACAAACGAATAGCCAGCACTGTCCCGGGCTATTCAGCACAAAAGACGGCAAGGTGAGTGATGTCAGTATAATAGCAGAGGAAACCAGCCTTTGCCCTTGGCAGGCTTAAATCAGGGTGCTACAGCAACACAGGGGCGCCTGGGTGGCTCAGTTGGTTAAGATCTGCCTTTGGCTCGGGTCATGATCCCAAGGTCCTGGGACTGAGCCCCACATCGGGCTCCCTGCTCAGTGCAGAACCTGCTTCTCCCTCTCCTTCTGTCACTCCCCTGCTTGTATGTACGCTGTCTCTCAAATAAATAGGTAAAATCATTAGGAAAAAAAAGATACTACAGTGACATGATGGAGAACACAGAAAGAATAACGACACAGAAAGGATCACTGGGGACACTGGCTTAGTGAAGACAGCTGGCTGTAGGCAGATAAGAAGAGTGGGGCTGTGTCAGCCAAAGGGCTGATGCCACTGCATTCCCCTACTCTGCAGGGGACCTCAGCAGCCTCTGCTGCGGAGAACGCCAACAAGTCCTGCTACAGCAGCAGAACATCACAGATTACTCAGCAGAGGGTCCAAGCATTTGCAAGCATGGACCCCACCGGCCTGCTCTGCAGAAGACCCCAGCAGCTTTTGCACTAAGGTAATCGATAGCTATCACCATGGGGGACCTACCACAGAATAATATACTGAGTTGTCCCCTCCACCAAAAAAGGAGCTGTCGCTCCATTCCATGACCAGAGCTGCCACTCACACCAACCCCACCAATACCCTGGATCCCAACCCACAACTGCTCTGTGGTTGCCTATATTCATTCCGTAACCTGACTCCATGGCTGTCACCTGAGTGCCCGGGTCTCAGGCATGAGAGCCATGGCCCTTTTGGGCTAGTCTGCTTCTCTGATCCCAGAGACACCGAGGGAACCCATGCTCTAATCACAGGCACCATCAAGAAGGGACTATTCCATGAAATGTACAGACATCAATGCAAGGCTACAAAAAAAAAAAAAAAAAAAAAAGGAAACAGGACATCCCAAAGGAACACAGTAACTGATCAGTCACCCCCAAAAAATGGAGATCTAGGAACTGTCAAAGACTTCAAAATAATTTATTTAAAGGAGCGCAATGAGCAGCAAGAAAAAGGCAATTCAATGAAATAAGGAAAACAATTATAAACAGTATAAGATTTTTCAACAGATAAGAAAATATAAAAAAGGACCAAATAAATCATGGTATACTATACTGTACACCTGAAACATTCAGAACACTGTATGTTAATTATACTGGACAAAAGTCATGCTAAAGAATATGATGAATGAAAAGAAAAACGCAGGGGCGGCTGGGTGGCTCAGCCAGTTAAGTGTTTTGACTCTTGATTTTGACTACAGTCATATCTCAGGGTTGTGAGATTGAGACCCGTGTCAGGCTCTGCACTTAGCATGGAGTCTGCCTGAGATCCTCTCCCTCTCCCTGACACCAACTTGAGTGAATGAATGAAAGGAAGAAATGAAGGGAAAGGGAAAGGAAAGGAAGATGAAAAATGCAATAGAGAGCATCAGCAGCCAGCTTGATCAATCAAAATCTGAGTCGGAAACTGAAGATAGGTCTTTTTTTTTTTTTTTAAAGACTTTATTTATTTATTTGACAGAGATCACAAGTAGGCAGAGAGGCAGGCAGAGAGAGAGGGGGAAGCAGGCTCCCTGTTGAGCAGAGAGCCCGATGCGGGGCTCAATCCCAGGACCCTGGGATCATGACCTGAGCCAAAGGCAGAGGCTTAACCCACTGAGCCACCCAGGTGCGTCCCCCCTTTTTTATTTTTTATTTTTTAAAGATTTTATTTATTTATTTGACAGAGATCACAAGTAGACAGAGAGGCAGGCAGAGAGAGAGGGGGAAGCAGGCTCCCTGCTGAGCAGAGAGCCCGATGCAGCTTGATCCCAGGACCCTGGGATCATGACCCGAGCTGAAGGCAGAGGCTTTAACCCACTGAGCCACCCAGGTGCCCCCCCCCTTTTTTAATAGTGCTCTGCGCATTTAAAAAAAAAAGATTTTATTTATTTGAGAGAGAGAGAAAGGGAGAAAGCACAAGCAGGGGGCGGGCAGAGGGAAAGGGAGAAGCAGGCTCTCCACCACTGAGCAGGGAGCCTGATGGAAGGCTCGATTCCAGGAGCCTGGGATTGTTACCTGAGCCAAAGGCAGAAAATTAACCGACTGAGCCACCTAGAGCTGAAGATATGTCTTTTGAAATCACTCAGTCAAATTAGAAAAAAGACAACTAAAAAGAGTGAATAAAGAAAGTCTATGTGGATTACAGGACATCATGGAAACAGAATACTATTTGCATTACGGGGGCCCTGAAGAAGACAGGCAGGGACAGAAATCTTATTTAAACAATAACGGACTGGGGCGCCTGGGTGGCTCAGTTTGTTAAGCGACTGCCTTCGGCTCAGGTCATAATCCTGGAGTCCCAGGATCAAGTCCAGCATCCGGCTCCCTGCTCAGCAGGGAGTCTACTGATCCCTCTGACCCTCTCCCCTCTCACACCCTCTCTCTCAAGTAAATTAAAAAAAAAAAAATTAAACAATAATGGATTAAAAAATAATGGAAGAAAACTTCCCAGATCTGGGGAAAGACATGGACATCTGGGTACATGATGCTTGTAAGTCCCCAAAAAGATTCAAACCAAAGAGGACTTCACCAAAACAAATTACAGTTGACTCTTTGGAACAACAAGGGTTTGAAATGTGCAGATTCATTCATAAACAGACTTTTTCCAATAAATACAGTAAAATACTATAAACACATTTACTCTTCCTTATGATTTTAACACTTTCTCTTCCCTAGCTTACTTTAATGTAAGAATATAGCATGTCTCCTCTCTCTCTGCCTGCCTCTCTGCCTATCTGTGATCTGTCAAATAAATAAATAAATAAATAAATAAAAATCTTTAAAAAAATATATAGCATAAATATAACATACAAAACATGGGTTAATTGACTTTATGTCATTAGCAAGGCTTTGGTGGAGAAAAGGATATTAGTAGCTAAGTTTTGGGGAGAGTCAAAAGCTATATACAGTTTTTTGGCTGCATGGTACCCCTAACGCTCATGTTGTTCAAAGGTCAACTATATGATAAAAGTCAAAATGTAATGACAAAGATAATCTGAAAGCTGTGAGAAAAACTCATACAGGGGAACTCCCCTCCCCCTCATAAGGATATGAGCAGTCTTCTCCACGGTGACACTGACTACTAAGAGAAAGTGCGATGATGTGTTCTAAATGCTGCAAGAAAGAAACTGCAAACCAAAATTATTTTACCAACAAAGCTGTCTTTCAGAAATGGAGAAAGATTTTCCCAAACAGAAGCTGGGGGAGTTCATCACTACTTGACCTACCCTACAGAAGATGCTAAACACAATTCTTCAAACTAAAATGAAAGTATGCTAATTAGTAACATGGAAACATAGAACATACTGATAAACGCAATTACACAGTCATACTCAAAATATAGGAGTCCGTCCTTATTCATTTCACTTTCCATGGTTTCAGTCACCTACAGTCAACTATGGTCCAAAAACAAAGGATCCTACTTCGTTGTAACAGATTGTCAGAAGGTCAGTAGTGGTCTAATGCTAAGTCACAAAGCCCATGTCATTCACCTCACTTCATCTCAGAAAGAGTGAGTATGGTATAATAAGATATTTTGAGAGAAACAGAACACATTTACATAACTTTTATTATATTACTGATATTATTATATTTTATTATTATTTATTATTGTTTATCTCTTACTGTACCTAATTTATAAATTAAACTTTATCATAGGTGTGTGTGTGTGTGTATGTATGTGTGTGTGTGTGTGTGTGTATATATATATGTATATATATACATACATACATATATATATATATGAGAAAACATAGTATGTATAGGTTTCGGTACTATCTGAAGTTTCAGACATCCCCTAGGATTCTTAAAACATATTCCCCCATGGATAACAGGGCACTACTGTACTGTAATACTTCAACAGTGTGTTAATCACTCAACATCAGTATGGAGGACGAAAATTGAGGGTATTAAAAATAACTATCTACAAAAATCTGTGAATGGTTACAAAAAATAAAAAAGATGTGGGTGCCTGGGTGGTACAATCGATTAACCATCTGTCTTTGGTCCCGGGGTCCTGGGGTTGAACCCCCCCAACCTCCCCTTAGACTCAAGTGCTCAGCAGGGAGTCTGCTTTTCCCT